TGGATCAAGAGGTGAGCCTATGGATGAAATATGGCCAATCTTCAATTAATTAACAAATCAGAGAAAATGTACTTATATTGCTGACATCAATAAAAACTAAATGAAAATATAATAAAAAAGAGGGCCAAAACCTTTTGTCCTTTTTCATAATGATGCACCTTCCAACAATATTTTATCCCTTGGTCTTTGAGGAAAGTGATGGCCTTGGAGTACTATGTTGTCTTCTTCCAAATGAACCACCCAAAAATTCCCATTAATTAGATGAATTATAAAAAATCTTAAAGATCACAGCGGAATTTAAAAAATTATATAATGTAAAAGTTGAACTACATGTTTTGATTTGGTTTATATTTTTAGTTTTCCTTTTTAAATGTCATGAATTCATTATCATTATTGCATGATATATATCTTTTGGTATTATTGTTGGGGCTGCTCCTACAAATTTTGCCATAACTTAAAACAAAAAATCTCGAATGTCTGTAAATTTGTGGTATAATTAACTTTCAATTCAATTTGGTTCATTATATTTTAAGATACTTGAATGGGCCTTGACACTTTTAAACACTTTAGTGTATATATATATATATATATAGGATACTTAGATTTTCAAAATTAATATAAAAAATTATCAAAATAAAATTTATTCATATTTGATGTTGTATAACGCGAGTTCATATAACGTATATATAAAATAACTTATCATTGAATTAATTATTAAATCACCACAATAAAAACAAGCATAGAAAACTATCTATGACATGCAAGTAGACATAACTATGTATTACTCATCCATTCAAGCTGCTACAAGCAACTAATAAAGAACCAGCAAACTAAACTGAACACAAAAAAACATGTTTCTTAAGAGTAAATGAATTTTGCCACCAATCTCTTGGCCAAGTGATAAGAAGAGGATTTATGAGATATGCAAGCTTGAGTTCGAGTCCAAATATTAAAAAAAAAATACATGAAGTTTGTCTTAAATGAATGGCTAAATATGGCTTTATTTCACAATATCAAACAAGCAAATGCAATGCAACATAGAGTAAATTACTTCTTCATTGCAAAGTAAAGCTGAAAAAGCAGAGATCCAATCAGTTGACGCACCATAAAACAGAAAGCTCAAATAATGATGAGCACAATCAAGTATCAATCACCTATCATTGAGGCAAAGAATCAATAAGAATTTAAACAAGAAGCTTGATTAAGGAAAATCATAAATACATGGACAATGGTGGATTCAAGATTTTTGTCAAAAAGTGTTCACTTATAATATATAAAATACTGTCGATGGGTTTATTAATTTTATCCATTAAAATCATGTTTAGAAGAAAATTTTGGATGTTCATGGAAAAGTTTCCTTTAAATTTTCTTATTTTTTTAATTTTTAGGAGTCTCCAAAAAAATTTTATGGGTATCCAACACAAAATTTTATTTAAATTTTTTTATTTTTCAATGGACACCCCACAATACCATGTAAATCCACCACAGTACATGGAAAAAAATCCCTATTTACCTGCTTAGCTAACAAGTTTCTCCTGAATTTTCACTTCCTTGTGTAACGTTATCCTTGTTTCTCCCACAGTCATATATTGTGGTACTTGATCTTCCCAGCTTCTCCAAATTATATCATTGCAAGTGGTTTGATTATCAACTATTTCTTCCATTGTGGTGAAACCTTCTGTTGTATTATTCTGAACTTGTTGGGGTTCCTTCACAACAAATTACCCAAAAAAGTGACATAAAGTACTAAATTTCCGTTTTCTTGTCACGAGGATACACAAAAAATAAAGACAATTCTTATTAAGTAAATAATGCTAGAAGTAATTAATTAATTAATTATGCATATGACTTGTGTGTATATAAAAGAATCATCCAATTCATAATAATGTGTAGTTATTTACTAGCATAACTTTTGTTTCAATGCATCATCATTTCATCATTAGTATCAATATGATCAAGAACAACAAATTAATTAATTAAGCATAATAGTTAGAAAAACAGTCGGTTAGGTACCTCCGTTATGGCAGGCACTGGATGTTTTGAATCCATGATGACACTTCTGGTCAACTTGGGAGATTTGGTTATTTTAAAATGAAACAAAGAAGGGAATCGGAAATGATAACCCATTGGAGCAAAACTCTTTAGGCTTGATAGCTCATGAAGATTCAAAATTTGTAATTTAGGGAGCACCAGTCCCTTTTGATCATCTTCAATGTTTAGTTCACCTTGATACCCGAAGACTTGCTCTAGTTTAGAAGCCCCTTCAATTTGGATTCTCTCGAGGTTGGCAAAAGAACGGGCGACACTAATAGGAAACAAGCTTTTCAAATTGCTGCACCCAGAAATAGATATAAATTGAAGAATAGGGAAGGATATAGGTTGGAGATGACTCTGTGATGATGATGCTATTGAAGTTTGGTCCATTTCAATGATTTCTTCCAACTCCTCACAACACTTTATTTTCAAAACTTTCAATTGCGGCATATTTGGAGCAAGCATAGAAGAGAAGAGAGATTTCAGCCTTTACAACTTGACACTTTTAAGTCTTTAAGATAAGGAAGGCTTGCAACTTGGATGGGACTCTGCAACTGATGTATACCCTTTAGATTTAAAATCTCTATCTTTGAGAACAAGTGTCCGCCTTGAATTTGAAATATATTCTCCCAATTAATAGTGTCACACACATTGTCTTGTCCCAACTCAGAGAATCGTAACTCCTGTATAAATATAAAAATATCATAATTTCATTAAAATTTGAATAAATTACAATGGTCAAATAATATATGACGTCAAAAGTACAAAATCTAATATATACATAAGTACATTTATGTGAATAATTTCTCTTTATGACATGTAGGATAATGTTTATATTATTATATTATTTATCAAATAACTCTGTTTAATAAATTATTCAAATTTAATATTTTTGAATAATTATTTAAATTCAAATCAAAATCTATAAAAAAAATTTTGCATAAATTTTAAATTCAAATATATTCAATTATAATTTATTTTTTCTTTTTACATTAATCATAGTTCCAAAAATATATGTATTTATATGGTTAATATATTTTTATCTACCATCAAATAATTCTATTTAATAAATTATCTAAATTTAATATTTTGTATAATTATTTAAATTTAAATCAAACTCTGTCAAAGGTTGAAAATTTTACATAATTTATCTTTCTTTTTAAATTTAATAATAGTTCCAAATATATATACTTATTAAATTTTTATTTAACGAAATCAGAATCTAAAATTGAAAATAAAGAGTTTATAAAATGAGAGGTCACCTTCTAGCCAAGCTTATTTTATTTGTTGTTATTAGAATTAAAAATTGAAGAATACAAGCCTTTTTTTCACTTGACGGTTATGATTTATTAGTTTTGACGGGAATGGACAAAAGTTAGAAAGAAGAGTAAACCACATCATACTATGAACTAGTAAGTCCATTGTTGCCTTTATTATTCTTTTATTTTCTTTTTTGTTTGCAAAAATAAGTATGTGATGGTGTTGGATTTTTTTTATATATAATTTTTGCTTAAATGACACTGATTTTTTTTTATCAATTTCAATAATGGAAAGAAAATGAAAGTACATTTGGATTTGGTTCCAACTCGGTAATAAGTAGGTTCATTACTTTTTTTTTCATATTTTATGTTCTTTTTATTTTTTATTCCTCCATTTGTTGTTCTTCAACTGTTTATTTGGCCTTATATCTATTATATGATATATACATTTGATTTGATTTATCCTAAAAAATTCATTTATATTAATTTTTATATATATTTAGTTAAGTGGATATTTTGTAGTGATAAGTTCAAGAGATTTCAACTGTATATGCCGTCCTCAATTCGTTATTGGTTTTTTTTTTGATACATGTATTTGACTTTTGTTTTTAATAAAAAGGCAATATATATGTTGAAGTATGTGAAAAATAAGAATTAATAAAAAGTAAAATTGTTATGAACAAATTAATAATTATATATGCTTTATTGTTTAATCAAATATATATATATATAAAAGAAATTATTATTATTTTATGTTTTATTTTTTGTTCAACTTTATAAGATTTAATAGTTTATGAATATTCTATTAATATAAATGTCTTATAATTTAACAAAATGATATATTTTTTATATCCATATTAACATTATCATAAAAACAATTATTAATTTTTTACTATTTAAAGATTGACCCTTTATTTTTTGATCAAAAAATAAATAATTAGTAACAAAATTTTTTATGTTTAGCAAATAAATAAAAAAATAATTTTTTGTTAAAAAGAAAGGATTTGCATAATTCTTTGAAATTTTGTAAAAGATTGTACTTTAAATGATAATATGTGAATGCTATCATTTAATCATATCTTAGAATTTATAAATGTATGATTATATAGTTGATTAATAAGAGTTTGCATATTCTTTTATTGAGGAAATATAAAAAATTAAATTTAGTTAAAAAAATAAATTTAAATTAAGAAAATAATAACACGGTTAAAAAAGCTAGTATGTATGTAAAACAAATACCAAAGGCAAAATCTCGAACTACAATTGAAGGAAAAGAGTGTAACAATACCTTTGGTTGAAGCTGTTTGTGAACTTGTAGTTGAATAATGAAATTTTCCAAACGAGGACAGACCACAACGATTAACTTCTTTAAGGATGGTGACATAATGGGATAGTTTTCTGAACAGAAGCTACTCAAATTTATCAAGTTTTCAAGTCGTAGATGTTGCAGGTGACGGAGAGCAATGGCATGATCAACTCCATTCTTTTCTTCTGCGACATTGAAGACATACTGTAGTCGTGGACAACCATGTATTTCAAGAGATGCCAATTTTGGCAAGGGCGGAGGATGGAGAAGGTCACTGTCTGATTCTATACTATCATCGCTTTCCAACTCTGTGGCAATGTGTTCCAGTTCATCGCAGTCTTCTATCTTGAGTTGTTCTAGCATCACCAAGCTTTGAACAAGTGATGGTGAGAAGAGATATTTCATTTATTGCAGCGACTAATTACTGCAACCTTCAGGCTTTGGAGGCAGACATGATGGCTGGGCCCTTTCCATATCCACTTCAATTCTGGTAATGACTTCAGCTTCAAATTTGTTAAATTTGGCAGCGGTGGAATGGTTGAGACATGGCCTTGAACTCTTGTATCAATCAAGCATTCCAGCTCTTTACCATCTTTAAGTGTAAGAAAAGTTAATTCATGTAGACCCCGTGAATCGACGTTTGGAATGAGATTTTTGTGATGCATGATTCCATCCGTGGTAAGTTTTTTGACATTGCATAATAATTCCTTGAAACCATTAATGGAACATCCTGATAGATTCACAATATAAAGGAAAACAGCAACAAAATTCGAAACATATAATGAGATTTCTCTTATTAGAAAAAAGAAAGATTTGAGCTAAAAGAATATTTTTATCCTTCACTTTTTACTGAAAGTTCATTACTGTAAAAATTTAAACAATTAAAATTAAACTGAGTATAACTAATATAGGTATGACACTACATGGACACAATAACACAATAATTTTAAAAATAGAGGACATGGATACGATAAAACATGACAATAAAAAAATATTTTTATATATATTTTTTATCCATAAATTTTTATATGAAAATAAATTGAACACAATTATAACATAATTAATGATGTGTGTAAAACTAAAATAAAATTTTATTATTGCTATGCGTAAAAGTAAAAAATAATTGATATAATTATAATTTTATTAATTTAATTTTTAATACTAATAGATTATAAAATTTTAAACTTTTTAAATAATTTTATTTTTCCTTATTTTTCATTTCTTTTCTTTTACTTCCTACATTTTCTTCTTTCATTTCTTATTTTTTCTTTCTTTTTCCCTTTTTTTCCCTTCCCCAAATCGTACGATTTAAAAGCTTTATCAATTCAATAATAATAGTTATTGAATAATATTTTATTATATAAAGAATAAAAAAAATGAGAATAAACATACAAAGATTTTATAAAGTGTGTTAATAAAGAGAAAAAAGATACATGGTGTTAGTTTTCTCAACCTGCAAGACATGTAATAAATATACATTTAATAAAACTTTTTTCTTTTAAACTTCAACAAAAGCTAATTATGTATAATATATATATAGTATTTGTTTTCTCAATCTGCAAGTCATGTAATAAATATACATTTAGATTAGTTAGTAATATAATTTAATTAAACTTTCTTTCTTTTAAACTTCAATAAAAGTTAATTATATGATCAATATATAAAATTTAGTAATTTCTCATTATTCATTGAAGGAGAAATGGAAAGAGAAAAGGTACCTGAAGCTCAACCATTTCTTGGGGAAAATCAAAGACTTGCTCTAATCTATCGCAGTCAGATATTTACGAGTCTTGTAGGTGCGAACAACTTTGAGCAAGGCAAGGCGGGAAGATGGATTTCAATTCACTGCATTCCCCGATGTTTACATCCTTTAGACTTTGGAGGCTTGCATGACATTGATGGGCTGATTGTAATTTCCATATACTCTCCAATTCTGGTAAGAATGATAGATTCAAGCTTGTTAAATTTGAGAGTAACGGTGTCTGACTAATTTCTCCCTTTTAAAGAAGACTATTCGTTTCAAATACCACTTTCAACCGCTTACAATCTTCAACGGTCACATCTTTTAACTTTTGTAAGAAGCTAATCGGACGCGGACCATGGCGCAACTCTTTCAAACAAGTCATTTTCACCATTCTCAATTTCACCAAATTAGAGAACGCAGTGGTTGGTCCTTTCTCTCGTGTTGTATCCATTAAGCATTCCATATTATTGCAATCTTCAAGCTTAAGAGAAGTTAATTCTTCTAGGCCCTTTGGATCTATGTTTTGTGTTTCATGACAACATTCTTCAGAGCCAACTCTCCGACATTGCAAAACAACTCCTTGAATGCACTTAATGAAGACGAGAATTCAGTAATTTCCAAGGTTCTAAAGTTTAGCACCTGCATAAATGGATGATATTCATTTACAGCTATAATGAAACTTTGTAGTTTAGGGAACACAAAATTTTCTGGAAAACATTGAGCTGTAGAAACACTCAATGACAGTGCAGTCAAACGAGATAATGAATTCAGCTCCGATAAGTTAACATTGTTTTCACATCCGATGTGTAGCTCTTGGAGTGACGTCAACCTGTTTGTTACACAAATACCAAAAACCATTATCAAACACTTCAAGTGAATCATAAAAATAGAAGTAAACATAAGTTAATTTTAATTATCTCAGCAAATACATCATGATTTTTCAGCACCTTTTCTTATTAAAAAGGTTTGAGCATTTTTTACTATTTCGTAATTCATGTGACAATCATCTTATATACTAGCATTTTTGTTAAAATGGAAAGACTACAGCCTCGAATGTTTCATAACAATGGAAGTGACCAAAAGCTTATGGTAGATATATTTCCCATAGTCTAAAATCAAATTACTTATAATAAAGTAAATAAAAGAAAAATAAATAACATAAAACTAAATACTTAATTTTCAGCAATATAATAAAAAAAATAATTGACATCTACTATTACCTTGATAGCAAATTAGGGGGAAAATCGATCTGTTTCTTTCTAGAGAAAGAAAAATAAGAAAAACGTAGCGATTTTAGTCTATGCAATGCCACTAATTCTTCAGGTAGCTTATAAATATTAGTATTAGAAAATGCAAGAATCTCAAGTTTTTCCATGCTCCTCAATGATGAGATGTTCTCCAGCTCGCAATTTGGAAAGCATAGACCTCGAAGATTTGATACGAATTGAAGTACTTCTAGTGAGAAAATGACATTTGCGAGATACAAAACTTGAAGGGCTTTCATTCCTTTAACAAATGCATTCGGAACTTTCACTATAGTCTTTCCTGCAAAAATCAAAATTTTGAGTTCAGGAAATTCCAAATTTTCAGGAAAAATATTTATGTTGCTGCTCCAAAGGAAGATTGTGTATGGGATCACAACTTTTACTTAGAGGCCATTCCATCAACCCGTCTTTTACCATGAATATATGTTTCCCTGTAGGTGCTATCCAATGAGCAAAATCACGAACCACGTCATGCATTCTTACATTTAATTCAGCGTCATCATCATCAGTTCTCAGTAACGAAACCAGACTCTTGGAGTTTTCTTAGTGCTTCACGAATTTCCCTCCGTAAGTCGTCAATTAATAAGTCTTTAGGTAAGTCAATATCAGAAAATAATCCATGACCAATTGCAAACATAACCAATAACTCAATATCAATATCCCTATCTTCTGGAAAAAGGGAACACAGCAAGAAACATGTTCGAATATTATCTCCCTTCAAATAATCATAACTCAGCTTAAGGCAGTTGTAGATACCTTGAGAAACCTCTTCATTGTCTAAATCTCTTGAGTCCTTGAGTCGCTTGTTTGCCACTTTCCAGCCATCTAGAGTTGCAACTTTTAAAGCTTTTCCGATTGTCACGATTGCAAGAGGCAAACCCA